CAGTGGAGACCAGGGGTCCACCAGCAGAGACCAGGGGTCCACCAGTGGAGACCAGGGGTCCACCAACGGAGACCAGGGGTCCACCAGCAGAGACCAGGGTTCTGCCAGCGGAGACAGGGGGTCCAGCAGCAACATTGCTTGCTATCAAAGTTCAGTATGGCATAAACTTGATCTGACTTCATGGTCTATGGCTTGGCTGGTCTGGTCAGGGTTAAACTATAATAATAACAAAATCTCTCACTCTGTCTCTTGAGCTTGACAAAAGGAACAGTGAAAAAGTTTAWCTTGGCATTAATCAGATTTTATAAAAGTTCTGCTGTTTAGATGTACATAAAGTCACATTTCAAATKATTTTTCTGTGCTGTAGTAGCCTACCTTATTGAATTAATTAAAAGATTAGTGGAGTCAAGTATCCAGGCATATGTAGTTATGGTATATGAGCATTACAGGGCCTTGGTTTAAAGCTTTGGGTTGAGTCTAGGAAATGATACCTATGTGATATTTTTAGATTTATAAGTTGAGATTGCTTTATCGGTCATTGTACCATTAAGCACAAMAAAATACAGTTCAGAATAACCCATCCAAGAGGGAGACCAATACAAACATAGCCATACAGTTTTGTGGTGGAAACCTACTTTATTATATGAAGAAACAGAAAAAAATCTTTGTTTTAATCATTTATTATTYGTCACAACTTTATATGTTTTAAATTTTATCTTGCTACAGACCAACATAACTACATTTCCTGATGGCACAAAACCAAACCTGAAGAAACTGGGATTTGACWGTTACCAGTGTCCATTCTGCGAGAGGGTTGGGCCGTACCACAATCTTGTGCCACATTTACAAAGCCACCAGTGGTCCACTGTCAAATATGGAGGTATGTTCATCTACAGTTGCTGGTCATAAAATTAGAATATCATGAAAAATTGATTTATTTCAGTAATTCCATTYAAAAAGTGAAACTTGTATATTATAATCATTACACACAGACTAATATTTCAAATGTTTATTTATTTTTAATTTTGATGATTATAACTGACAACTAATGAAGATCCCAAATTCAGTATCTCAGAAAATTTAGAATMTTGTGAAAAGGTTCAGTATTGAAGACACCTGRTGTCACACTCTAATCAGCTAATTAACTCAAAACACCTGCAAAGGTCTTTATAAATGGTCTCAGTATAGTTTTATAGACCAGTGTTTTTCATCCCTGGTACTCAAGGCGCAGCATGTTTAGAGGTTCCCCTGCTTTGACACACCTGATTCAGATTAGTGATGGGCAAATGAAGCTTTTCTGAAGCACTGAAGCTTGCTTTGAAAAAGGGTTCATTACTCGAAGCTTTCCAATAGTGATGGGCAAATGAAGCTTTTCTGAAGCACTGAAGCTTGCTTTGAAAAAGGGTTCATTACTCGAAGCTTTCCAACACAGTTCTCTTTGGCTCCATCCTGTGGCCAAAAGTATAAGAAGCTGCTTGAAACAACACAAAGTGAAGCACTTCATCGTGGTGAAGATGACAGCTCGAGATATTTCTGTTTGATATCAGGCTGTTGTGTTGCTTGAACAGATTTTATTTATTTATTTTCTTTTTTGTGGGAGGGAATAAAGTTACTGTTGTTTGTGGTTTATTATAAATAAAATAAAGTGCCTGTGTATTTTGTATTCTGTGTAGAGACTGAATTATTTCAAGTTCTTAATTCAATTTCCTTTAAAAACAAAATTAATTCTATACACACAAAAAATCACAAATAAAATG